CACCCACACCAGATGGAAAACTCTACAGACTATATATATATCGTCAAATAGAACTGCCCGGTAAACCGTAGGCAGAGAGGGAGAAGAGGACAACAAACGAGGGGCTGTGACAAACTGTTTCGTCGGAGTTTCACCGACTATATATATCGTCACAAACAGAACTGCCCGGTAAAACCGTAGGCAGAGAGAGAGAAGAGGACAACAAACGAGGGGCTGTGACAAAATGTTTCGTCGGAGTTTCACCGACTCATCAGGAGGCTATCATCAAATAGAACTGCCCGGTAAACCGTAGGCAGAGAGGGAGAAGACGACAACAAACGAGGGGCTATATATATATCGTCAAATAGAATATATATATGTATGTATATATATCGTCACAAACAGATATATATCATACAGGGTTGCCGGCGTTCGGGACGGGCCGAACGCCCGAACCCGAACGCCCGAACGTACGGGACGCCCTTCGGAAGGCGTTCGGCCGTTCGGGCCGAACACGGACCAAAAAAAAAAAAAAAAAAAAAGAAAGGTTTTCAAAAAATTCCGAAAAAAAAAACATGTTATGGAGCAAAATAAACTAAACAACATTTGCCTGGGCACTACATCCCAATTCTTTACCAAATTTGAATTAAAAATCAAATACAGAAAATAAACACTGTGATAAAAATAAGAGAAAATAAAAAGAGAATTAAGATGAGTGAGTGTGCCAGCACCTTTTCGACACCACCATCTTTGCCTATTTTTTATTATTTTTTGGCATTTACAAATGCCCTGAAAATTTACAGATATGTATTTTACATAATCAATAACTCATTAAAAAAATTTCAAAAAATAATAAAATTTTGTAGGCCCCGAAATAAAATGAAAATTAAAAGTTAAAAGTGAAAAAAAACAAAATAGTGAGTGGGCGAGCATGTTTTGACACCCCCATCTTTGACGATTTTCAATGTTTTTTGGCTTAGCAGAATGGCTTCAAAATTTATAGGCATGTAGGTTACATCATAAAGAACTCACAAAAAAAATTCAGGAAAAAAAACGTATTTCTAGGCCCCGAAATGTTTTTTGGCGGGGGCCGAACCTGGAGCTGTTTGGCCCCCGAACGGGACCCCGAACGCCCGAACGTTCGCGGGCCAGCCCGGGGGCCCCTGAACGTTCGGTCAGGTAACCGTGTATATATATATATATATATATATATATATATATATATATATATATATCGTCAAATAGAACTGCCCGGTAAACCGTAGGCAGAGAGGGAGAAGAGGACAACAAATGAGGGGCTGTGACAAACTGTNTAAACCGTAGGCAGAGAGGGAGAAGAGGACAACAAATGAGGGGCTGTGACAAACTGTTTCGTCGGAGTTTCACCGACTCATCAGGAGGCTATATAAGTTGGTGAAACTCTGACGAAACAGTTTGCCACAGCCCCTCGTTTGTTGTCCTCTTCTCGCTCTCTGCCTAGTGCTTACCTGGCAGCTCTATTTGACTACATATCGTCACACCATGCGTCGGAGCGCAAAGGCGAAAAAAAGTTTAAAAGACAAAACAAAAAAGGAAAAGAGTGAGGAAGGAAAGCCCCGCCTGTTCATCACCTCTTACGTACGCCGGCTGCTGCCTCCATCCCCGTGTGTCACAAGGACCCACTTGCACGCAGCCGAAAAAAGGCAAAGAGAGGTAACTAAAAGCAGGAGGAAACCAAACCTCACAGAGGCGAGAGAAAGAGAAAAATATACATCGTCATATATCTGTTAAAAATTAGAATTGGAAAGATACAGATGAAAAGATTGGCATGGCCACTGCGTAGGGATAACATGCATCGATTGAGAAATGGTTGATTTTTTTTATTTTATTTTATTTTTTTAAGACAAGCTTGTTTGAACTTAAAAAACGCAGTCATTTGATGAACAGAAACTGCCACTACTATCGTCTTACCCCGGGCAGAACAAGCATCGCCCTTATCACTGAATCTGGACTGGAAGTTGCCCAAATACAGCTATAATGGCTGTATTCCAGGGAGGACGGTAGGCATGACAAGACACCATCGCCTCGATCACGCAACAGGCGAATGATCTCATCTGTCAAAAGTGGAAAGGAAAGAAAAGAGAAGAAGAAAAAAAAAGAGGGGGGAAAGAACAAAAAAAAAAAAAAAAAAAAAAAAAAAAAAAAAAAAAAAAAACAAAAAAAAAACCAAAAAAAAAATTAAAAAAAGAGCAAAAGAAGGAACAAAAAATGAACAAAAACAGGAACAACAAAAACAGGAACGAAAACAGGAACAAAAACAGGAACAAAAACAGGAACAAAAGAAAAGAAAAAAAAACAAAAAATTGAAAACAAAAAAAAAGGAAAAGTCCGTCAGGACATCTGTTAAAATTGGAACGATACAGAGAGAGAAGATTAGCATGGCACCTGCACAAGGATGACACACATAAATCGAGAAATGGTCCAATTGTTTTCCACTCGGAAAAAAAAAAAAGATCTCATATTTTTAACTGTCTTGGCTCCGCAATTCATTTTTCAAAAAAAAGTTCCAAAAAGAGTTTTTTTTTTTTTTTTTTTTTTTTTAACCTAGATTTCATCTGACATAATTGCTTCATCATTACCTGCATGAATTTCCGGACCGTTGATATGTCCATGCGGAGATCGTGTACCATCCAGTCGGCGATCATGCCTGCCACATATCCGACGACTGCCATCACTGCCCACGGTCCAGACGAGAACCAAGCTGCGTCCCGAAGATTAACCCCAAATACCTGGCGAGAAGCATACACCACCAGCATTCCTAAATTGGAAAGAAAAGAAGTCCTTGTCAGATGTCCCAACCGCCATCTGGCCTTCAGGAGTCGAAGAGGTTGGTTCCATGAAGCCGCCAGTTCAATTCCGGGAGCAACAAGCTGCTCTCATCGGGTATATATATACAGATATATTATATATATATCGTCAAATAGAACTGCCCGGTAAACCGTAGGCAGAGAGGGAGAAGAGGACAACAAACGAGGGGCTGTGACAAACTGTNCACAAGCCAGCAAAACATCCACGAAACAAAGAAAGGTCTGTCACAGCCAAAAAATACACTCCGACACGCCGCTGGCACTAGAGGCACAGCATGGCCACCTAGTAACGGCCCCGACCACTGCCGCTCAACCTGACCGGAAAAAACCGTAGCAGGAAGCAAGCGAAGTCGTAGTATATATCGTCACAAATAGAACTGCCCGGTAAACCGTAGGCAGAGAGAGAGAAGAGGACAACAAACGAGGGGCTGTATATATATACATATTTTGAAGAAACACCCCAAGTAGTTGCTAGTGATGCTGATAAGAGCAGACACCACTAGCAAACTGGGGGAGGCTCCATCTATTGGTGGGGAGCATCACCTGCTGGAAAACGGTTCCAGCGTCCCTGAAAACAATCAAATGTCATATTACATGCCACGTGTCCATCCTACTCTAATCTTTGACAATTAATGAGCCAGCACGATGGCACGCTCCTCGTCAGTTTATTTAGCTAACATGCCATGTGTCGATCCTACTGTAATCCTTGACAGCTAATGATCTGGCACGATGGCACGCTCCCTTCAAGTTATTGAGCAGCATTGATCGCCCTCGACCAAGGGGATTAACTGCTCATCGTAGTTAAAAAATACAACCCTAATCTGCAACCCTCACCTTCTTCAACAAAGGACGATCAGCAGCACCATGAGGGGAAGGGGTAATCAGAGCAGGGTAGTAAAATTCAATTAATGGCACCATGAGGGAGTAATCAAAGTCAGACTGAGAACCCCAAACCTAAGTTTCCCCAACCACAGTCACCCCATCAGCTCCTCGCCGTGAAACCCTCACCAACAATGACAACTACTTACAACAGCAATCAGCCCGTGAGTGGGAGGGACAATCAAAACAAGGAACCAATCGAATCCGTGCATTCCACGCGACAGGCACATTCTCATGTCACCTCTGTATCGCACCTGTCACGTGGCAATCTATCATTATAGTTTGTTATTATAAGAGGCCGCAAGACGCGTCAGATAGCGCAAGTCAACGCATGCATGTCCCGCCCCATAGTCGTATGGTGCCCAACATACACCGCGACCCCATTGTGGTTATTCTTCCCTCTCGCCTTCCTATCCCACCCCTGTTCGCGCAAGCCCCACATCCACCGAATCACACAGCAAGCGGGAAGTTGGCAGGCCTCCCCAACAGCGCAGCCCACAACCCTTTCCCCCGACCCCACCGGGATCCCACGGCAGAACCACTGTGACATTCCACCCACACAGGGATCCGCAAGTCATGCCGAGCATGCTCGAAACCGTGGCCTTCACGGCAAACCCACCTTCGTTGCTGACGCCCTGGCTCCCACCTACTTTGCTGTTGTTATTATTAATACCGTTGTCATTGACTTCGCGACTGATGTTATTGTCCCCATCGCCGGCATGCATGGATTTGTCATTGTTATCATTATTGTTGACGACACGGGCGAGAGCGACACCGCCATATTTGTCCATACCAACCTTGTCGTCATCATTGTCATCGATGCTCTTATCGGTATTGTTGTGATTATTGTTGTTGTTGTTGCTGTTGTTGTTGTAGCAGACGGCGTTGCACGCGAGATCGGCGTCACATCACTGCTATCATCGATGTTGTTGCACTGAACGGTGGCACAAATAAGCTCACCGTTGTCGCAGTTGGCGATGTCGCCGGCGTCAGCAATAACGAGGTCTATGTCATCATCATACCAGCAGTCCTCAAGTTGAGCACACAGTTCTTGCCCCTCGTCTAAAGCATCGTAATACTTCTGCATTAGGTTCTCCAATTGTGGACCAACTAAAGGCTTGCATAGACTGGGGGGCGGTCCCTCCTTCAACCCCCATGTGATCTCCAATAGCCTCTGTTGCTCGCCCCGGATCCACGGAATTGATGATACTGTCGTCCCAGAAGCCACCTCTCTCAACTTTGCCACCACGTGGCGCACCTGGTCCGTGCCCTCTTGGACGATAGCAAGCCACTCCTTGGCAACCGGCTCATCTAAACCCGCCATCGCCAACCTGCCGTTAGTTCTCTCACCTCCTTATTCTGTTGTTGTTCGAAGCTGCTACCGCTGTCGCACACTGTAAAAAATTCCACGGCTGGCGTCACCCCTGTCCGCACGTCACGGAACACCCACGTCACCTACAACAGCCGCCACGTGGCAGTCAAGACGCCACGCACGTCTGCTGGGCGCACGCACAGGCCTGACAGCCGAAGGGCTCCCTCCCCCCCGCACCAGTCTAGCCGGCAGACCGGGCCTTGCCGGTCTGGCGGCATCGGGGCGCTAGCGCTAGCGCAGCTCCTGTGTGTATGCCAGTCACGCCAATGGTATACATATATATTATATAATTATATATATCGTCAAATAGAACTGCCCGGTAAACCGTAGGCAGAGAGGGAGAAGAGGACAACAAACGAGGGGCTGTGACAAACTGTTTCGTCGGAGTTTCACCGACTCATATATATATATATATATTATATATATATACACGCGGTAAGAGCATTTCAGTTCCGGCCTCCTGGGGAGGGTAGCAAAAGTGGCAGGTGACTTTGAAAAGGCGCAGGCAGTTGTAGGGCTCTCGTGCGCTTTGGAAGGGGGCTAAGTCAACGTAGGCTCGTGTGAACTCGTCGTTCAAAAAAAACGGAATGATAACATATTAAATAGTATTAAATTATTTAAATACATAGAATTTTAAATAGTATTAAATACATAGAATTTTAAATAGTATTAAATACATAGAATATTTAATAGTATTGAATAGTATTAAATACTATTAAATACATAGATAGAAGAATATCACAGGTCTACTGACGGGCCTCTCGCTCAGTTGGTACATCCATGAACTTTTGAAATATAGACGACGTGAGCGCTCGACTCCAGATGGAACACACGTCCTTAGCAAAAGAGAAAGAGAGAGAGAGAGAGAGAGAGAGAGAGAGAGAGAGAGAGGTCAGCCACAGTAGCTCAAGCAGTCGAATGAATTTACTATTACGTGTATTGACTAGTTTACAATTTACAATTTAGTTATTTACAATGTGTTTACTGTTTTTTACAATTTAGAATTTTTACTAATTTAGTAACTTACAATCAGTGTTTATTGCTTTACAATTTACAATGTACAATTTACAATTAGTGTTTACATTTTTACAATTTACTATTTACTATTCACTTTTTAGTTTATGCTATTTATAGAGTAATTGTTTATTATTTTTTCTTCAGCCAGAGGTGTGCAAAATGGGAGGCATATCCACATTCCATTTCAGCATCAATTACATGATAATTAATTTCACGATACTTATTATCATGGTTGCGCCGGACCCAGACATCCAGACACCGGACACCGGGCCCGGACCCGTGTCTGGATTAATCCGGACGTCCGGTAAACCGGACATCAAT